TGCGGACGAATAAAACTGGAATTAAATAAACACTCTTTATGCTTTTTCTATTTTTCGAAGTGTCAATGTACGTAACTAAACAATAATAGTGAACAGGAACGTTATTCTACTTTTATGTTGCTTTCTTCTTTGATTGACACCTCCATTTTATGTCCGACCTTATCGAGCTTGGTCTACTTACAAAGATCATACACAACTCTATCGGAACATGCGTTTTCAAAAGTTTTTCGACGCCAATGGAACTTTTCAGCAATCGATAACTTGAAAAATGGCCATTATAAAAACGCATTTTTGTTGAGTAAACCTCGTTTTCCAAGGCCATTAGATAGCTTGAAATGAGTTTCCTTGCTGTATACATGATTGCACAGAAAAAGAGGCACAGAGTAGACTTATTGCGAAGTATTGCTTGATGTTTACAGAAGGAAGCATAAAACTGGAATTAAATAAACAATCTTTATGCTTTTTCTATTTTTCGAAGTGTCGATGCACGTAATTAAACAATAATAGTGAACAGGAACGTTATTCTACTTATTTTTTTGATTTATTCGATTACTATTTGTTTCGTTTTCATCAAGTATGTATACAGCAAGGGAACTCTTTTCAAGCTATCTAATGGCTTATTCCACCAGATTTGTGACTCGTTTGCATGAATTTCTTCGCACAAATAGTGCTATATAGCGGATTTTAGAGCTGATTCTTTCCATAAAAAAAGCTTTCTGTAAAATCTGCTCGAAACATACTTTTTTTCGAGACCGCAAGGTGTCATGGACTCTATATCTAAAGTACTCAAAGATTTGAATCGATCTGTTTTTGATGAAAACTACTCCAAAAGTCAAGCTTTTATATGATTTGACCTAGTTCTTTCACCACAAGAATTAGCTTCAATTCTGCATTGAGTGGGCTGAAACTGTGCTTTAGATATATTTCAGTGAAGATAGGAGGTCGGAAGCTGAAATTTTGTGCACATGTTCTCCGGATATAGAGAAACAAACGAATATATAGTTATAGCTTTGTAAAACTTCACTGGGCAAGATTCTCGAAGTTTTGCTTTTAAGATGCAATGAAATCTTGAACTTGAAATTTTTTTGAAAATTCGAATGCGGACGAATAAAACTGGAATTAAATAAACACTCTTTATGCTTTTTCTATTTTTCGAAGTGTCAATGTACGTAACTAAACAATAATAGTGAACAGGAACGTTATTCTACTTTTATGTTGCTTTCTTTTTTGATTGACACCTCCATTTTATGTCCGACCTTATCGAGCTTGGTCTACTTACAAAGATCATACATAACTCTGTCGGAACATGCGTTTTCAAAAGTTTTTCGACGCCAATGGAATTTTTCAGCAATCGATAACTTGAAAAATGGCCATTATTAAAACGCATTTTTGTTGAGTAAACGTCATTTTCCAAGGCCTGAATCCCATTTTAGAAAACGTATGAATGTCACATCTTGTAGAGAATGTAATTCTTTACAAAACTGATGCAAAAAGTTTGAGTTAAAATCTTCGCAACAGGTCCAAGTTTGAAGAGTAAGATAACATATCAACACCAACTGTCTAGTTTTAGGCACTTTTCTGCATCGTAATTCGGTCAAAACTCCCAAATAGTAGGAGATTTGGAATTACCGTAAAAAGTTGAATTAGAATATTTGTCTTTTAGTCTCGTATATAAAAAAGAGCACTTTGACGAATTCCGGAGGAACATCGTCGCATTTTCTTTCGTCGTTGAGCGCTGCACCACTTAAGCAAAGGACATGAAGTATAGCTTTTCGGCTATGCTCTTTTTAATGGTATAGTTAAAAAGTGCAAGCGCCTGCACTAAGACTAAGTTGTCCAAAGATCCGCCTTAGGAAAACCTAAACTTAGCGTTAGTAACGATGTTCCCATTTTCCAACGATGCCGTCGTGTCGAGCACAGTCGAAAACCTATAATCCACATGATTTTGGTTGAATAAGATGGTATTTTAGCGCTGAATAATGAAAGAAAACGCGATCATGTTTTTGGCCGATTCCGAAATTCGTCAAAAATTTTTTTTCGAGCTAGGACATTAAAATACACATATCCTGACCCAATTTTTGACCCTGCTTCGAAATCTGGTCTAACTTTTGATCTCTGATCGAGTGTTGATGGAGAATATCGCGAAAATATGGAAATTTTGTGTTGGTGCGCCATCTAGTTTTTGGAATCCCGACCTTTCCCCTAGGTTTCAACTTAGATCTCTTGCGCCAACTTTGTAGAGAATTAAGTTCTCTACAAGATGTGGTCCTCAAACCTTTCATAAAACGGGCTTAGGCAATGAAACATTGCGATCACTCGTAAAAAATGCATTTTTAAAACGGCCGTTTTTCAAGTCATTGCTTTCTGGAAAGTTCCACCAGCGTCAGAAACTATCGAAAACACATGTACCATAGAGTTTTGTGTGCTCTTTCTAGTCAAACCAAGCGCAGAAAGATAGGAAGTAAAAATGACGGGGTTATAAGCAAGATAAGTGAGACGGTGATTTTTCTCAATTTTCCGGTGGTACGCACTTTGAAACGTGCTTTACTCAGTCAAATTTCGTTCAAGCTCGCTCAAAATGTTTTCCTAGACTCAAGAAGATTTTCGCCTCACTACCACTGTGCTAATACTCGATCCGCTCACGGATCGCCTCTTAAATAAAGAGCGAAGTACTGTTTTTTATTTAACTACCACTTCGATTAAAACTTCATTGTCGACAGGCTTCTAGAGCAGAAAAAGTAACTGTTTATCTCTGCCACAAATAGTGGTTTATTGTCATGGAAAAAGTTTCTTTTTCTAGTATAGCTTTAGAAAAGTCGTGTCCGAATGTCCAGCTTCAAAGATCCCTTTCTAATCTGGTTTTTGGTCGACCACCCTCTTTCCGTTTGACGGGACTTCCATTATAGATGTCACTTTAAATGGCTAATAATGCACCACTGCCAGGTGTGTAGTAGACTTCAGAAGACGTGTTTCTGAAAGTGACCTAGTTTTTCCATTTCTTCAACAGCTTCAATTGCCAACACTACACCAGATTTATGGTCGCTGGATCAGGTCTCAGAATGGCTGCGACACATAACCCTTGGCCAATATGTGGACAAATTTCGAGGTGAGATTTTGAATAAGTCAGATTCTTGCAGAAAACATATTTCTGGTTAAATTATCCACGATTCAACGTACAATTTCCTGCTGATTCTGAATACATATAATTTGTAAAGAAGAAGAATTTACTTCGTATCGAAACTTCGCAAAATTATAATACTCATTTCTGCAGACTTTATTCACTTGCATTAACGTTTGAAACTTGTTTTTTCCAAAAAACATGAAAGACTAATTTTTCCCATGGAATAAGCATTTCGAGATTGCATTTTTAAATCTGCTAAAAAAAGTCTCTTAACTCAACTTTTGGAAATGTTATTTTCGTGGAAATACACAAAAAAAACCAGGCTTCTTCTAAGAAATAAATATTTCTCTAAGTCGAGTCAATAGAGTTTTTTTGTAGCAAATTTAATTTCCGATCTTTTATTCTGTTAGTTAAGCTCAAGAAAATGTTATTTTGAGGGTAAAAAAGTCGAATGTTCCATACACCTATACGAAATGAAAAAGCCTCATAAAAACGCTAAAATGCTATTCTATTCAATCAGAAACACATGGATTATAGGTTTTCGACTATGCTCAATGTGATGGTACTGCTGGGAAGCGGAAGTGCCACTACTAAGCCTAATTTTTCCGAAAATTCGTCTTAGGAAAAACCACAGTTAGCCTTAGTAGCGGCACTTCCGTTTCCCAGCAGTGCCAGCATATTGAGCATAGTCGAAAACCTATAATCCATGTGTTTCTGATTGGATAGAATAGACAGATTTTTAGCCGTTTCCGAAATTCGTCAAAGATTACTTTTTGAGCTGCAGAAATAAAAGGACATATTCTGATTCAGTTTTCGACGCTGATTCTAAATCTGGTCTTACCTTTCTGTTCCTGGTAACTCTGAAACAGGTATAAAAATTTGAGATTTTTAGAAGATTTTCTGGAGATTCAATATACTAGAAAAAAAGGTGTCTAGAGTTTGCCCACAGTAATAAAAGNCTCTGAAACAGGTATAAAAATTTGAGATTTTTAGAAGATTTTCTGGAGATTCAATATACTAGAAAAAAAGGTGTCTAGAGTTTGCCCACAGTAATAAAAGAGATTCAGCCTCTGTCATAGCGTAGAAAGTCAAAACTTGAATATACTTTAAGCGAAATATAGGTGAGCTGGTTGAATATAACTTCGTCCGTTAGGCGAAATACTCGATTATCCAAATAGAAATGCAACAGTTCAGGAGTGAAAACTAATTTTGAAAAGCACACCTAATTTTCATGAGTAGAATATGACAAATCTTTCTACTGCCAGGTTTTTGGGGTTAGCTTAAGCTTCAAAAGTAGCTTTACAATTAGAAGATGTCTTTTTCTTATGTGTGACAAAAAACTAGCTTTTGGGAGACCAAACCATAACGAATAAAATTCAGTTTTCTGCCCAAAGTGGGTAAGTTGTAACGCTTTGGTCTATATTTAGAAAACGAAATTAGTGGCGAAACGTTAGTAAGCGACGATTTCGACGAGGAATTGATGAAAGAATTGGTACCACTCGTAGGTCATCGAACAAAATTAAAACGAGAACAAAGGATATTAAAGTAAAATATTCCATGAGTGACATTTTCGCATCGTTTAAAATTCACAGAAGCGTCCTTCTTCTTTTAGGAGTCCACCTGTTCCACAGTTTCCTATTCCTGGTAAGTAGCTGATCGCCAACTGTTGTTGCTGGTTCAATAATTACGATCTACGCAAATAGGAAAAAACGGGAGAATCTACATACGTTATTTGTTTTGTTTGTTTTTATTTCAATTAACTCATTACACCTATACTTTCCTAGCAATACAGAGTTCTATAAAAATGAGGGAAAAAACAAACGGACAAATGCAGAATAAAAATAACAGAGATTAATTAAATTCGATAGCAACAATTACAGACAAAATTTTTGATATAAAGCACAATCCTCGTGGTTAGTATAGTCAAATAAATCATCGATTGCCGCTCGCTTGTTGATGTTAAATCTTTACTCACCGAGAACCAAGTCAATAGCAGATGACAAACATTGTCCAAGGCTAGTACCACTTCCGGTAATACTGATCTTACTTCACCATTAAATTCAAAATGATAATGATATCAAAACTCTACCACTCAGGATCGGTTGGAAGGTTAGGTGCAGACAACTTTGCCAACAGAAAGTTCCGTAAGGAGGTGAAGTGTAGCATCCCTTCCAGCTTTCGATTTACCTTCGAGGCAGATATTTTTTGCATTCTCTTTCGTTCTATCATAATTGGTGTGTTTTTTTCTTCCTTTCCGTCCTTTACCCAACGTATTTTGAGTGAGAAGAAACTTCTATCAAATTTCTCTATTAGGTCTTGAGTGGTTCGTCCAGATAGTAAAAGGTCTTCTAATAAAGCGTCTGTTCATCCAAGCCGTGTTGCCAATGATTTGATGGCGTCTTCCTGTGCTGACTATTGTTCAGTTAATCTTGTTGGTGGCGCTTTTCAATGGCAGACAATTTTACAAAATCTTCCGTTGTTTATATAGATGTGTTGTTGAGCTTGTTATTGTAATGATCTAACGTGATCACTGAGTTCATTTAATTTAGCTAAAATTTCTTTAATATCATTTTGATGAGTCGTACGTGCTGTTGTAACGTGCAGTTGTTGAAAAATAGACTAAAGTTAAGAAATGGGCGGGCGAGTTCGCAAGAAATTAGAAGAAGGAGGTTGAGTGAATGGAGGACGAAGTTGATTCTTCAATTCAGACCTATAATCTTCTATTTTTGAGTACTTTAACCAAGAAGGTGAGTGGTTTCCTGATCGCCTGTGCACCTAGCAACAATTGTATTGTTGTAAATCAGATGACCAAACACCAGAAAACTGACAATTTCCATCATTTTGTGGACAGTCATTTCGGAAATGGCCGATTTTTGAGCATTTCCAACAGACCAACGGTGGTAGTGGTGGTCAAGAATCTTCCATTTCTGGTACTAATGAATTTACGGAAATTTTTCCACGTTATGCCATCCCGTTGTTCAGGGCGAGAAATCTGGAGTTCAACCAGATTAATATCTTGCTGTTGTTGTTTATTCTTCGGACGAACAACATGTAGCTGATCAGAGCACGAATATTTAGGAACCGCTTGGATCCATCGAAATCAATTCAAAGAGACACACGTTTGACGATGGTCGAAAGTTGGGCCGGAAGAAACGGTGTAGAAGATGGAGGCTACGTCCGTTAAGCGAGAGTAGAGGACCTTTGTTTTGTCGTCATAAATAAACAAATGAGTCTGAATTTTTGACGAAAGTCAGAATGTTTACTTCATTCTATTCACATCTTTCTGTTGGGCGACTATATCCAACTGATTCCAGATCAAAGTATCGTTGACGAGCAGATACTGTCGATGATTTTCAGCGATTTATTGTTTTTTTGACGTTAGTAGAACCAAACTGAGCAACGAAGAGAGAGAATGATAAGCAGGATGTGGCACAGATTCCAGCTGCAGGCTGTGGTTCTCAATGCTCATTAATAAACCTTGTATCGTTATCATCATTTAGTTGAGATTCTTGGCGAAAACGTTGATGTTGTAGCGGCGGGCTATTAACGGACATCTGATCTGACGTCCACTTGATGTCTTGCACCGAAAAGTCCACCAAAATCCTCTTTGAAATTAAGATTTTGACGGTCAGCCGTAAAAACGTGGTAAACTTTCAAATACTGATTGATTATTAGTTAATATAGGTCAATATGTATGTTAGTTATTATAATACAAGAAGAGACAAAAACACATCTGCTCTAGACGAAGAAAATAGGAACATGATTAAGATTTTCCGTTGCGTTTCATTAAAAAACATTCCACTAACATTTTTCCACGGTATTTTCGTGTCACAAGATTACAAAATCCAGCTTTCATAGGTTTTGTGACATGACAAGATTAAAGTTGATATCCAAGAATTTTGAATTGAGCCACAGTGCGAAGAGCATTTGAAAGCATATTCCTTCACTGTCATATAACTTTATAAGAAAATTTAGGCAAATGTCCGATCAAAAATGCACACTGTGCGGTCCTTTTTAGCCTCTTGAATGGAGATGTTTTTCCGATTTCAAAGGTTTCCCTACAATGTGTACTTTTTCTCTTTCATCTGATAAATACAATAGCGCCGCCGCGGCCACCCTCACCTTCCGATCCATCGCCAATCACAGATAAAGAAATTGCTGTTCTGCAAAAGTGTTTTAAATCACCGCCGTTATTACAAATGAGAGATCTGATGGAAGCCGGAGAATTTAGATACACTGACAAAACAGCAAAACAAATTTCACAAGATATCGTTCAACGGTTTTTGGATGAGCAAGCGAAAACGTTTCCAGAATTTGCTCAAGAATGTCTAGTTCCCATAATGTTTCTATCAAAGCGACTACAGAATCTTGATCATTTCATGGAACAACTAATGTACAATTATCAAAAGCTAAAATCTCAATCAAATCCATCTTCATCAGATAAGAAAACAGTCAATTTAAATCTTCGTGCATTCTTACACATTCTTCTATTGAGCAGTGACATTTTTCTACGTCGTATAATCATGTCACTAATCAGTAAACGAAATCCTGTTCCATTCGTTGAACCGAACATTGACACAGATCGAGCTATTCTGAAATATGAAATTATGGCGTCAATCGTTCATGTATGGAATATAGAACGTCCCACTATCTTGTCTTTTGGAATTGGATCTTGCCGTGAAAGTCTTCACTACTCAACTTATTATTTCAATCACCATTTGAACGTCACATTGACAGTGTCTATTTCCAGTCTTCAATTGATATTGATTTTGGATATGCCTTCATTCCCGAGAGACCATTTAATTTAGCTGATTCACATGGTCAATTATCTCAAGATCTATTGACAAAAATTCATCCACTTTTCGACGGATTTTTGATTCATATCAGTCAAAGTGATTTCGATCAATACATTAGAACGCTCTTTGAATATTTAAGTATACTTCCACGAGAAAAATATCGATTAATCCTTGTTCGCGACGAAACGCCAACGTTCGATGAACAAGCTAGTAAATCGTCTTTAGCAGCGTTAATGCAAGATACTCATACATTATCCTCAATGCCAAAACTGCTTTCACTAATGAATGCGAGTGACTCAGAAAAAGCAAAATTTGCTATAAAAGATTTAAGAGAACAATTATTACAGGACATAAAATCCAATGTCCGCATTAATAACACTAAAGAACAACTTGTTTCAAGTCTGCATATGTTACTCAAACAAGACGACGTTAATCACCTTAACAGCATAGATCAAATCATAAAACCTTTGAAAGATTGTCTATTATCCAATGATCCAGATGTGAAAAAAAACAGTTATCCGTTATATCTAAAGTTCCTTCAACTTTGTAAATTATGTCAAAACCTGAGCAAAATACGTTTCTATGGATCCGAGAGTGAAAGCCAAAACTCTTACAAAATCACTTTGGATATTTTTCAGATTGAAAGTGAAATGAGTCCGAACAACAATCCGAACCAAAAAGGTTTGGTTTTTCAACACTTCTTTGAATTACTCCATAGAGAGAATCTCATAATGATACTGAATACTTTGTCATCCGAATTGAGACAAGAATTATTAAAAGAAGGTTTTGCTAAATTGGCTGGAAATTTAACAGTTGAACAAACGTTCTTGTCTTTGGAAGCTCTCTGGCGTAACTGTAGTGTCTGCTATGATCATCTTGTACTGGAAGATAAACAGCTAATCATACAATCCTACAGAGACTATATTCGTAGCGGTTATCCGTTCGAAATTATCGATGGTGATAACTTTCATTGTCAAGATAAATATCTAACGGAAGTGATGCAGACTTTCGGAAATGAAAAAATTCTAGCGATTAGTATTATTGGACAACAGAACACTGGCAAAAGTACACTACTGAACTATATGTTTGGCTCTCTTTTTGATGTCAGAGAGGGACGATGTACTCGTGGAATATACGGCTCATTGATAAAAGTAAATAATATAACAGGAATTGATTATATTTTGTTGATTGATACTGAAGGCTTGCTGTCATCTGCTAAAAACGACGAGGAATATGATCGTCGACTAGTCTTGTTTTGCCTCTCCGTATCACATCTGGTTATTGTGAACACAGTTGGTGAAATCAATCAAATTATAAAACGTATGCTGGCACTATGTATTGACTCTTTGAAACAATTAGAACTGACGACAATTCAACAGCCAGATTTACAAATTGTTCGAAATAAAGAAGCAGATCCTAACATTCAAAACCATATAGCATCAATCAAAAATATCATATCAGAACTAAGAGATAGTGGGTTGGGTGAGACAGTCAACATTAGTGAACAATCCATTCACACCCTGCCAAATGCATTCAAGACTGAACACATGGCCGATGGTACAGGTGCATCATGTCTGCATCGTACTGAACCAGATTTCATTGAGAGAACACAAAAATTCGTTTCTCATATAACAGCATCAGCTAAATCATGTTTTGATAAACCTGGTAACACAATTACTTATTTACCGTAAGTGCTTAGCTTTATTTGCTTTCCTTACTCCGAAGGGTGCAAAGAACATTCTCTCAGAAGGCCATAATTTGACAAAAACTAGCCTACATTTTTAAGAGACGATTCGCGACAGCAGCGAGAAATCGAGTAACATGAATTTTTTTCACTCATTTTTTTATTACATATTCTGCAAGTAGAGCTCAGATTGAGCTTGCAAAAAAAAGTTTTGAATTTTGGACGTGATTTAACGGAGATATGAACATTTTAAGGTGGACAGTTCCGGAAAACCTTGAAAAACGTAGATTTTCACTATTTTGTGTCTATCTTCGTTATATTTTATCCGATCTTTTAATGCCTAGTCTCATTCGAAAGTGCATCAAAAACTGCAGCGGAAAAAATTTATTTTTCAAGTTTTTTTGACATAAAATTGATTTCTCAAAAAGAATCACTTGAAAGCGATTGTAATGAGTATTAAAATTAGCATTATAAGACTACGATTTAGTTTTAAAGCAATCTATTCAGTTCAAAACAAGATTTTGATAGGTTTTAGCACGTGCTCTTCCCTATGTGATCGGAAAAACGACCAAACTCAGATTTTTGAGGGGTTTTCCAGAGATTATATCTTTGAAAAACTTGTAAAGCGCCTTGAAACAGCCATCTTAAAAAATTTTAAATGTTCCCATCAGATTTCCCATGTCTGAAAACCTATAAAAAATGGTTTTTACTAGATTTCTAACGGTCTGAAGCGGTCAAGAAAATATTGGTTCAAAAACTAGAGAAAAACCTATCAAATTCCTCTTCTCCGGGAAATTACAGAAACATATGCCAGAAGTGATCGAAAAGGCACATCATGTAGAGTTTGCACACAATAAATGGAAGAGATTCAGCCTCTGTCATAGCGTAGAAAGTCAAAACTTGAATATACTTTAAGCGAAATATAGGTGAGCTGGTTGAATATAACTTCGTCCGTTAGGCGAAATACTCGATTATCCAAATAGAAATGCAATAGAATTATTATGCAAATAGAAAGAAAATTTATCCTTCGAAAAACACAAACTTAGCCTTATTAGGGATAGTTTCGTTCTCTAACATTGCCATTGGAAAGAGCATAATCAATAACCTAACCATAATAATAAACCGAATCGAGTGTTCAGAGTGCTGTACCTTCACTTTATAGCTGATTAATTCTTTTGTAGCTCATTAAAATAAGTGTCACTAAGTTCGTAGTCTTATTAAATTTACGATTAACAAAAATGAAGCTAAGTACTAGATGCTCTGAAAGCTGGATTAGTTATGCAGGCGATTTGACGACACTAAATTTAGAACATTGAGTTCCCAAAAATGGAAAATGCGTCATATGCAGTGTTTCGCCTCTCCTATCCAAAAGATTTGCTTGGAAAATTTTTCAAGTGACAATAATCGATACAGGTGCATCTTTTGCTGAAAACGTTTTCGTCCTACATTGTGGAAAAAGCGTACTCATCTTAGGTTTTTAGAATAAACAGACCCTTTCCTGCCTTGTTTGGTTCAATAAAATACGCTAGCTGTTTGTCATTTTCCGATTTTCGTTTTTCAAACCGAACAAAAATCCTGAATTTTTTTTGGTGGGTTCTTCCAAAAACAAGACTAAAAAATCTTTTTTAATCAATACGGACCGGTCTAAGTGTTTTTTGAACAAAAAAAACCCTGATAAAAACGCTTTTTTATCAGGGTTTTTCATTTTGTATAGGTGTATGGAACATTCGACTTTTTTACCCTCAAAATAACATTTTCTTGAGCTTGACTAACAGAATAAAAGATCGGAAATTAAATTTGCTACAAAAAACTCTATTGACTCGACTAGAGAAATATTTATTTCTTAGAAGAAGCCTGGTTTTTTTTGTGTATTTCCACGAAAATAACATTTCCGAAAGTTGAGTTAAGAGACTTTTTTTAGCAGATTTAATTTCCAAACTTTTGTTCTCTCGAGTCAAATCTCGAAATGCTTATTCCATGGGAGAAATTAGTCTTTCATAAAAATTAGTCTGTAAAAAACAACAGTTTCGAAAATTGATCCAAGTGATTTTTTGTATAATACTCATTTCTGCAGACTTTATGCACTTGTATTAACGTTTGTTGTTTTTTCCAAAAAACATGAAAGACTAATTTTTCCCATGGAATAAGCATTTCGAGATTTGACTCGAGAGAACAAAAGTTTGGAAATTAAATTCGTTAAAAAAGGTTTCTTAACTCAACTTTAGGAAACGTTGATTTCATAGAAAAAACACAGAAAAAGAAGTTTTTTCTAAGAAATAAACAATTGCCAAAGTTAAAGCCAAGAGACTTTTGTAGAAAATTCAGTTTTAGAATCTTTATTCTCTTGGCTCAACTATCGAAAATGTTATTTTCAGAATGAGAAAATTAATATCTTAAAACCGATAAGACATAAAAAAAATAAACTTTAATATTTAAGAGAACTATCATATGAAAAGAAAATGTAAATAAAAACAAGTCCTGACAGACTAATTGATAAGTTCGGAGTTTAGTAACTCTCTTTCTGAGAAAGACTGTGTGTTCGATCCACGCTCAGGCCGGGTTTTTCTTTTCTTCGTTTCAAAAAATCCTCGGTTTTTTATTAGGTTTTTTGTAATCTATAAGAAACTATCTAAAAAACTCTTTTATCCCGAAAGAAAAAGAGTTTTTTAAACCAGTCAAAAAACTAAAAAATCAAAAAGCGTTCGTGATGGTTTTAAAATAAAAAGCCAAAAAGCATTTATTAATCTACTTTTAGTGTGCCTCTTAATATGTGTTGAAAGTTAAAAATCAGGTCATATTTGTGTTCAAGGCATTGCGGCGCATGAGAATATGTGTCTTTCATAGAAAATAAAATTTTATTGGGACTTTATACTAACGGCGCCTCTACAGAATATTTAGCGTTTTTGAAATCCAAATAGAAAAAAAGGTTTTGCTGTAGCTGTCTATCTGAGTTACTTCGAGACGTATGTGCTTCTAATAGTTTCAATCATTCATTGGTCAAAGAGCCATTTTGAAATGACATTTGTGGTCTATAAGACAGCGAGTACGTGTATATTTCAATGAACACGTTTCGTATTTCATTTCTGCAGACAATGGCTACAAACTGCAATCTTGATATTTGATGTTTTACAAAAGTTTCCTGACTTAACGTACTTCAAAGATATCAAGGAACGAAGACAAGAGGATGAAATGCATAACGAAGTTCGTGGCATGATCTCAACAAAATTCTCAGCTGAGCGACGTAAAGATATGATAAAGGCACATTGTGATAAGAATGAAGATGATATACGTGATATATACAAAGCTAGATTTGGAGCATACAAAAATGAACTAAATGAAGATTTAGAAACTTTCTTCAGATTGAAGAATGCTTCAAAAGAGAATCGTGAACGTGGTCGAAGCTTTTTAGAACGACAAATTAATGAAATAGGAAATGCTTGGCGTACATTAACAATTCAAGCTAATGATCGCCGTAAGATGGAAGCCTATGTGAAGAACGGAGGTCTCGAACTACAGGGATTAATTGATAGCATAATAGCAAGTGGTAGAACAATGACAAGAGAAGAGGCTGTTAATGAATTTAATAATATGTGGAATAAGAAACTCGAGCACATTGAGAAAAGCTTCATTCGAGACGAACGTTTACTACAAGCAATTAATTTTGTATATGCTATTTATAATTTATTCGAAAAGAAAATGTTACCCACTCATGAACATATTCTTCTACATAAAAGGACTATGTTAAATGAGCTTATTGAATTACAACATCTACCGGAGTTGCCAGACATTCTTCAAGAAGCATATTACAAACAGGATGTTGACGCTCAAAAACAGCAGATAGTTCAACGGCTGGACCAAAAATCATCTACGCTAACAAGAACAGAAGTCGAAAATTTCAAGCATCTTAACAAGCAAGCGATATTGGACTATTTGCAGACCATTTCAAATGAAGGCAAGTTTGATAAATAAACTTTTTCTTCACCTTCGCTGTATCACCCTAAGAAACGCTTCGCCAGCGGAACAAGAACATAGTCAAACATTAGAGCAGTCACTCGAGATTGATCCTCAATCTTATCATTCTCAGCTGTTCTATAAGAAAAAAAATAAATCATCTCTTTTTTTCTATTTTTGTTCCCATCTCTTCTGCAGCTATATAACGTCCCTTACTAGCACAGGCATTGTGACTCTGTCAGATCCTATGCGTCTTTCGTTTTACTTAGAGAATTCGATAGAAAAAGACTCAGAAGAAAAGCATGAATCAAACGCGATTTTTAACGATCAAGTCTCCTCCGGAAGAAAACGGTGTCTGCACTCTGTTTTTTAAAATGCACTTTGTTTTAAGAGTAAGTTTCTGTGAAAGTGGTATATGTGCGATGGAAGCCAACCTCAAGTTTTGATGGTATTCACACCAGAGATAGAGGACGACGTCTGGATTCTATAGAAAAAAGTTTTCTTAGAACGAACTTAATTTGCTGGACTTATACTGTAATCAACCGTCGGTAGCCGACTTATGTCCAAAAATGAAAGTTGCTTCATAATTCTTCATCTAGATGCTTTTTCGAAAAGTGTAGGGTTCATTTGATTCAGCATCAAATTCTGAGCAAGAAGCAACGAAAAAACAAATTCTTGTCAAATATCTCAAAACGGCACTTCTCAAAAACAAAATAACTTGAAATGCGTATAACTCGGTCAATTTTTCGTCCAAATTCAGGAATTTTTTCCGTTAGACTCCGTTTCCGATGTAGACTCAGAATATTCAATAAAAAGTATAGGTCAAAATTATTCATGTTATGGCTCTTTGGGCGTATACTTGATGGTCCTGTGTAACCCGTAATCAGCTTTTGCCTTGCAGCGCACTTTGTGAATAACTTTCTTCGTTTGACATGCACCAAGCGTTTTTAATAGAACGTTGTAGCAAAGTGCATAGGGTGTACTTTGTAGTTCAGAGCATAGTGTAGGGCAAACGAACAAAGTGCACGGCAAAGAAAAAGTGGTCAGAACAAAGTGCATCTTAATAAAACAAAGTGCATATGACTTTACTTGTGCATTGGGACCTATTGATTAGAAACCCTGTGTGCACATTGCTCGAAAAAACAAAGTGCATGTGGGCACACTTTGCTAGAAATTCTACTCGAAGCCCTGTGGCTTGTTTTCCAAAAGACTTGAATTTATGATATAAGTCTAAACTTAAGTCAAAAAGTTTTTTTGACTTAAATTCGGCTTGATTTTTTTTGTTTCGCATCAGTTTAGACTTATGTCATAAATTCAAGTCTTTTGTCAGGAGATCGATGTTATGTGACTCACGGATGTTTATTTTTAACGTGACTGGTAGTTGTTATAGAGGATGCATGACTCAGTAACAGAACAGAGCGAGAAAGAAAATGAACGTCTTATTCCCAGGCAGGATTCGAACCTGCGACCTTCCTTTTTTTATGAAAAATGCTCTTTCAACTAAGCTATTGAGGGAACGTCTAATCTTCATTCTCGTTTAGCATCTATCCTGGATGGGATGCTAACAGTATACGTTGCAAAAACCTGTCTACTCGTTCATTTTCTTTAGGTCCTTCCAGACCGGTACACGATGAAATCAAATTTAATTTACAAGCAAAAGTTTTGAACGAATTAACAGTTCCTACAAATCATGCAAATATTCTGCAACCAATGCAAATCAAAACAATCTAACATTGAATCAAAAACATTGAAAATTTTGTTGTACTCGATTTTTAGGTTCTCAAAGTCAAATGGGATGCGTTCTTTCGTGAAATGATTGTAAACCTCTGTGGCAAGTACTGGAAAGCGTCCTGGGAATGGATCCTCAACAGGGGTTTTTGGTACGTCATCATCTTCC